TAACACTGTTCCATAAAAACTGATAGAATTCTTCGATTTAGTTTGATCTCTCTCGAATTTTTGTATCAAATGTAGTTTCCTTTTCCTATATATGTAGATCCTTATATTGGCCGAGTAGACGAAATTGGTATGTCTAAGACTACAATTGCTAAGAGAGAGTGATTAGTCACAAGACACAGAAACCAGTGGTTTCATGCGTAGTTTTTGGGGTCTCTCCTACTTGTTTTTCATTGTAAAGATCTAGAAACTGATCCAGTACATGCGATCATCCTCGTATCTTGACAGGTACGCACGCTTGTTTTTTGGTTGTGTGTGTAATAAAGATTGTTTTCGTTGCCCTTAAACCGTGTTCAATCCGTTTATCGCGCAACTTAAACTCTGTTTCAGATTCAGATAACTCGGCAAGTTTCCTGTCGACCCTCCGGTTATTAGTGGATCTATACTTGTGGGAAGTCAGTTCACCTGAAAATAACACAGCAACGCATTTAAATGAGTTTCAAAGTAGATATTCTTCATATTCGACTCAAACACTTTCACGCGTAATTATATATTTTTGTATACTCGCTAAACCTAAGTACTTTAAATCAAGTGAATAGGATTTGTTTGTTAGTAAATGTAAAGTTTATACGATGTGTAACTTCTGCTGCACCCACTTTGAAGCGAAACGTCAGTATTGCAATGAAACTTTTTTTTTATTATGACAATATAAATTTTCGATAAAATGCATGTTTTGTTTCTGAATTTGTCCATCCGTTCTGATCACTACTGAAAGGTTCATGAGTACGCTATCAATAGCGGATTCAAATAGGGTTTAAAGCGGGTTTTCCAACTGAGGCCACACCCTCCGGATGGTTGCATGAAGGTGTTAGGGTTCCACAACAAATCTGTTAAGGTACTCAATATCTATAGATTAATTGGGTGGGAGGCCCCAATCAGGACGCCAAATGTTTTGGAGATTCTTGTACTGAAAAATTTGGGAACTCGTGGTTTAAGGGGTTCGTCAAACTCCCCCTAGAGAATTAAACGTTATCAGAATGTAAAAGGAATATTCAAGACCAACAACATGTCTTGACATTTCTCAGTTACTTATAGTGTGCAAATAGGCACATTGAAAAATGTCCAACCATTTCTGGACCTCCTTGATGTTGAATTCTACATAATACTCTTTACCAAACCATGATGCTTTAGAATAATTAAACCGACCAATCCGAAGCTCCATATCAGAACGTTGTGATCTACACTTTCTGACAAGTTCGGCCATTTTATATACAGGCGCACATAACGGAGTAATGAAGAAATTATTATATTTTTTTCAAACACAGGGGGTTGTAAGATCATAATTTATTTCATAAGGAAATTATTTAATATCTTCTTTATTGAGTGACTCATTTAGATCACGATTTATTGAATTTGATAACAATTTATCATTGTGTTACAAAATCACGTGTGTATAGGCTACACGTGCACGGGAGATTCTTATGTGTGGTTAGGGAGTTCTACTCCCAATTTGCAGATCGCGGGTTTGAATCCTGTCACCGAAAATTCTCGCTGTTTCATCCGTGGGGGCGTTATAATTTGACGGTCATTCTGACCGTTTCTTTGGTAGGATACTACTGGCTAGTTACATTTTTTCTAGTTAGTAGTTCAAAATTACTGACGGCAGCAGATAGGCTTAATAGTTTTGCCATAAATACCAATACCAATTACAAGTACCATACTATCTTCCGACAGACAGACATTTCAACGTTTATGGGAAGTTATTTTTGCGTTAGTTCAAACCTTTTAATTTTGCTCGTAAGTTTGGATAAAAAAGAATATTAATGATGACAACAGAAGGTCAAGAGAGTAGTAACTACGACATTTTACTGGCGATGTAGCAATTAATTATTTAATTTTTAAACTTTTGTGCATGTATATAAATTATATTATCGAAATATTAAAAACCAGCCATTATAATGTCGAAAAATCTTGAACATGAAAGTTACGTAGTGAAATGTGCACCCGTCCAAACATAAAAATCTTGAACATGAAAGTTACGTAGCGAAATGTGTACCCGTCCAAACATAAAAATCTTGAACATGAAAGTTACGTAGCGAAATGTGTACCCGTCCAAACATAAAAATCTTGAACATGAAAGTTACGTAGCGAAATGTGTACCCGTCCAAACATAAAAATCTTGAACATGAAAGTTTTGTAGATACCCGTCCAAATATAAATAATAATGTACGTATTTGCTATTTAGTGATAGCCCTTTTTTTGTCGTCAGATTATTCAATTACTTTATTATTCGGTTATATTTTTAATTAAGTTTAGTGCGATGGTTTATTAGTTAGACACGTACTTTGTCTATTTTTCATAATAGTTTTGTATCAATACACTTTTATAATAATAATATCAGTGTAGTTTATCCTTATTTGTCTATAATGGGGGTTCACAAACTGGGTGACTGTGGCAAATACACAATGCTGGTAAGGTGCTCAGTATTGTCCCCCAGTGGAACAGCTGTAAGTCTTCGGATTTATAACCCTAAAATCAGGGGTTCGATTCCCCTCGCAGGACATAGCAGATAGCCTGATGAGGCTTTGCTATAAGAAAAATACACAGGTACACAGTATTCATAGCTTCATTAGGTTGAGGGCCTCAGTCAGGATGTGGAACATTCTGGAGGAGCTCGTGCTGAGAAAGTTTGATAATCCCTGGTCTGTTTAATTTCAAAATTTATTTTATTACATTTCATCCTTAATGAAGCACATGGAAAACAAAAACAACGTTAAACACTTGTAAATCTCAGTTATACAGACAACTCTTGCTTTCTTGTACTGATTCAACTTTTTGTTTATGGTGTTTTAATATCACCTTTTAACCAGAATTAACTGTAATTTCGCTTACACATTTGGAAATTTAGGCAATATTTTCAAACTTCTTATTAGGTGGTGGTGCATAGGTTAACATAGCTCATTAATATGATTAGAATTTTTGTTCGTACATTACTCTTTTGAAACGAAAGGATTTACAAACATATTCATCTCATTAACATAATTTTTACGAACTGTAGTACAATGATTGCGTTATTTTAAATAATCCGACTTGGCCTGGTGTTTGACCCTCAATCTGCAAGCCACAGGTTCGAACCTCGCAATCTAACATGCTCCAACTTTTCGTTTGTAAAAAGAGTAGCCCAAGAGTTGGCGGTGAGTGTTGTTGACTAGCTGCCTTTCCTCTAGTCTATCACTTCTAAAGTTGGGACGGCTTTGCGCAAAATTCGAAAAACAAAAATGATTTAAAAGTAGGCGAGAATTTTCATTCTCAACGCAGTTTTGTTGTAATTCAAGGCTAAATATCATTGGATAAACGTGTTATTTTAAAGAAATGATCTTGAATAATCTTATGTCGAAGAAAAACTCCGATAATATCATTTTCAAAACATTGTTTATTTGACAGATCTGGAGATTAATATAACTTTATTATACCATAATCAAACCACGTACGTTAAACTGCTCTTACCCTATAAAGGTGCTAACAACAAAAACCCTTTTTTATTCAAATCCAACTGTAGGATATATAGTTAAAGATATACAGTTAAAGAAAAGAAGTATACTCTGAAATGCAACCATCGATATTTCTCGGGAAAAAACGTCCTACTGCGGGCAAACACCACTAACTCTGCCTGTCAAAACATCAGAGTAGCTGTAACCTGAAGGTATTTGGCAAACTTCATCGCCTTCACATTTTTGACTTGCAACTTTGTTACATTCTTCACCTCGGCACTGCCAAAGAACAAAATATAATCAATTCAAACTTTGGTCAAGCCTGACCAACCATTTTTATTAAAAAATGCATCAGCAAAATAAAAACAAAACAAAAAAACTGATTTACTGAAGTAATACTAAACTGACCATGGTTTATAAGATTATTTCATTAGGTACTATTTTATTGCTCGTATTTGTCGTTTTAAATTTAGTATTTTACGATGTTAGACCATACATACTCTTTACACATCTTACGAAACGTTATTCATACTTACAGCATAACAAAAGTCACAACAACCGCACGAGCCCTTGTAGGACCCACAAGGACATGGGTTGGGGTTTAAAGGAGGACACTGATCAGGGTTGCACGTATTTGGGCAACGTGGTGGCGAGGTTGCGTAAGCCCTGGAGAAGAATGCAAAGTTTGATTATTTGAGATAATACATATTACATTAAAAAGTGCTTTTTTAACTCCAACATATTACATTTAACTGATGAGTAGAAAGCTGTTGCTTTGTGCATATTGCCCCCCCCCCCATCCAATATTATTTTATGTGCAACTTTGAGCACACTTTGTTTGTTATAGCGCAAAAGCTGCACAATGAGCTATGACTGCCACTGTTTAAGTTTTCAAACTCACTGTTCAGCTACCAGAAAGATAATTGTTTATTTTTTCATTTCTAGAAAAACTTGAAAGTTGGGAAAATATCATTGTTTAGTATAGATATCAATTACCAGCTAATATTTTATACAACTGCCAAACATAATTATTTAGACATTATGTAAAGTTTTAAAAATAGGCTTGAATATTGGGTATACAAAATTCTCAACAAGGAGAAATTGGTTAAAGTATATGTAAAAATATCAGAACTGATCATTTACCAACATATCACGACAAGATACTATGCGAACTGACCACTTGTCCATACCGTATCACAACTGACAACTTACCCACATAACACCACGGCGAGACATACAAGCAACAATGTCCACTTCATTATGGGTAACTGTTGAAAAAAATAAAAATGGCAACTTAAGTTACTTTACATCTTGTGTGTGGAAATATATTATTTACACCAGGCAACTTAAGTTACTTTACATCTTGTGTGTGGAAATATATTATTTACACCAGGCAACTTAAGTTACTTTATATCTTGTGTGTGGAAATATATTATTTACACCAGGCAACTTAAGTTACTTTACATCTTGTGTGTGGAAATATATTATTTACAGGCAACTTAAGTTACTTTACATCTTGTGTGTGGAAATATATTATTTACACCAGGCAACTTAAGTTACTTTACATCTTGTGTGTGTGGGAATATATTATTTACACCGTAAGAAAAAGTTATTGGTTTTTTTGAATTTCGCAAAATGCAAAAGATTATTTCTTTCCAACTGGAAAACAAAGTTATGTAGAAAACCTATTTATTCCACGAGGCAATAAAATGTATTTTATGTCTTAGCATATCTAACTTTCAACAGTCAAACCTAACATGCTGTGATATTCCCACCAAACCTAACATGCTGTAATATTCCCACCAAACCTGACATGCTGTGATATTCCCACCAAACCTAACATACTGTGATATTCCCACCAAACCTGACATGCTGTGATATTCCCACCAAACCTGACATGCTGTGATATTCCCACCAAACCTGACATGCTGTGATATTCCCACCAAACCTGACATGCGTGATATTCCCACCAAACCTGACATGCTGTGATATTCTCACCAAACCTGACATGCTGTGATATTCCCACCAAACCTGACATG